TGTCAGCAAAATGCAAAATCTTAGAATAACTGTTAGAGGAAATCAGTTAAAAGCAAAATCCAATTACAAAAAAAATTATGACAAAACTCACAAACGATCATACAATTTCAAAGTTAACAATCTTGTCCTGCTGTGCAATATACAAGCTAAGAAAAGTTTTAAAAAATTGGACAAAGACTATAAATGGCCATATAAAATTGTTTTATTGCATGACAACAATACTGCCACATTAGAAATAAGTAAAAATAAATTAAGAACTTATCATATTAATTTATTGAAACCTTATATTTCAGATGAAACCAACTATTAACAATTGTTTTCAAAATTTCATCACAAAATCATAGGAGTAGATTCTTTTATCAGAAAAAATTTCTTCATCGAAAGATTTAAAAATACCAATTGTTGATATCTTTCTTTATAACCTTTATGAAAAGAATCCTTTACCTTCACCGCTACCAAATTCTTTGAACCTTTATTCTCATATCAAACCTCAACACCCTTATATCCTTGTTTCAACCTTCAAAACGGTTTATGCAATGCTTAATGACCTACTGCGATACAAAGTACATGAAGGTTCGAAATGAATCTGTAGCCAAGTCACAGGACCACAAAGAATTGACAAACCTGAGTGTGAAGTCACATTGTTAATGTAAACATTACAGTTCATTCCCAATACATGTGACGCAAGGAGTATGCATGTTGCAGCTTAGAGCAAATAAGTTGTTAGATATTGATTTTTGAGCTGGGGATCTTGCAAAATTCACTTAATACACCTAAAAAAGATAACATTGTTCTATATATAAAAGGATGCCCATTATTCGTTTGTAACTGTTAACTGCCAAAAAACTGAGAATCACCTTTTAACTTAATCATATGTCTTTATGGTCCCCAGATGGTTCAGCAATAATGAGATATACTGAATTTTCATTGATTTTAACAATGATTAATGTATTAAATCATTTTTTTAATTTAAACTAATACATAAACCTGAAGAGTTTATTTGAACACTGTAATTTCATAAACTACCAGTTTGATATGGAAAATGGATTTTGTATTTGGTAGATCGTTTATCGAGGATTATAACCTCACTCTACTATCCACAGGAGCAGAGCAACAACCATAAATGTCAATCAATTTAGAAAACTGAATAAATTATGCTAGCATAGTTTCCCCCAAATACCTATGTCCATTCGTCAAACCACGTCCATAAACTCCTTCAAACAACTCCTATTCCACCACCTACTACAAACTCAAACTTCGGCAAGCTTGTAAAAATTTCTGGGTTATATAATTACTTGGTCACCAGTAGTTAATTGATAGAAGTCATTTTATTTTTATTTATTATTTTTTTATATCTCAGTGTTTATTGTATGTATCTGTGTTTAGCGTTAGTATGTTTTGTAGATATTTATATTTTCCTTTGTATTTTTTTTTTATATATTTCTATTTTCCTTATTATCTTTGTGTGTGTATATATATATATATATATATATATATATATATATACATATATATATCAAGTTGAAATATAGGGATTTAAATATTGGTACGTGGAACGTAAGGAGTTTAAACACAGCAGGGGGGCTAAAATCGGTCGCGAATGAGGTAAATGGGTCTAATTTAGATGTCGTGGCTCTGCAAGAGGTTCGCTGGCCAGGGGAGGGCTCGATGAGGGAAGGAAAGTACACCATTTGGTATGGAGGAAGTGGAAATCATTGTTTGGGTACCGGGTTTCTAATTAGGAGTAGATTACTATCCGCTTTGAGGGACGTACAATTCTTTAGTGATAGAATTTCGGTAGCTATATTTCAGGGACGTTGGTTTAAAATTGCATTAATAAACATACATTGTCCGATCGAAGACAGTGACGATGAAGTCAAAAGTGAATTTTACGATAAACTCGAATGGGCTTATGATAAACTACCGTGAAACTACATGAAAATAATTGTAGGTGATGCGAACGCAAAGGTAGGAAGGGAAGAAGTTTATATTCCGACGATTGGTAAAGAAAGTTTGCACGAATATAGTAATGATAATGGGATCCGTCTGATAAACTTTGCCATCTCCAAAAACCTGATAATTAAAAGTACGACGTTTAAACATAAGGATATTCATAAATATACTTGGACATCACCGGATTCGCAAACACGAAATCAAATCGATCATGTCTTGATACAACATAGCTGGCAAAGCAGTATAACTAATGTACGGTCTTATCGCGGAGCAGAATGTGGGTCGGATCATGAATTAGTAATCACGAAACTTCGACAAAAACTTAATAAAAAGAGAAAAGAAAACCGTTTCGATTTTGAGAATTTCAATTTGGAAAAATTAAAAATCCATCAATTAGAACCCAATTCGAGCTAGATGTTAAGAATAGGTTTGAAGCTTTAGAGCTTCCTGAAGAGGACCACGAGGATATTGACAAGTTATGGGTAGAGATCAGGGATAATATTAAAGCGGTCGGTAACTCGTGTCTAGGAAAAAAGGAAAATAAGAATAACAAACCGTGGTTTGATGAAGATTGCTTAAACATGTGCAAAAAAAGAAAAGCCGCGAAATTAAAAGCTCTAAATAATCCTAGTGAAGACAATCTGGAATACTTCCGAACCTCAAAGAACGAAACGACAAAATTGCTCAAAAATAAAAAAAGGGAGTATCTTAAAAATAAAATAATTGAAATAGAAACTAATAGAATCGAAAATAACGTAAGAGACATGTACAAAGGTATAAACAGATCACGTAAATGTGTAGGGCCAGTAACGTCTGGAATTAGGGATGATAATAACAATATTCTGACCGATCCGGTTGACATACTGAATACATTTAAGGACCACTTTGACAATATTTTAAATATGGGAAATTATGATCCATGTCCTCCTTCTGAGTACCAGAGTGCTGAACCATTGATAGAAGGACTGAGTAAAGAGGAAGTTGAATTAGCTATCGGAAAATTAAAATCTTATAAAGCAGCGGGAACCGATAATGTTCCTACTGAACTAATTAAGGCATGCGGGGAAGCTGGAGTTTTTAAAATACATCGGTTGGTTAAAAAGATCTGGGTGAACGAGAAATTACCTGAAGAATGGAAAGAATCTATTCTTATTCCGATTCACAAAAAGGGTCCGAGGACGGATTGTAATAACTATCGAGGAATTTCACTCCTTCCGGTATGTTATAAAATATTCACTTTAATCTTAACCAGTCGAATCACGGAATACGCCGAGGAAATTATCGGGGACTACCAATGCGGTTTTAGACGGAATCGTTCGACTATTGATCAAATATTTTCTTTACGGCAAATATTAGAGAAAAAATTGGAGTACAACGGTATTGTTCACCAGCTGTATATAGATTTTAAAAAGGCTTACGATTCTATTGACCACCAGAAACTGTATAATAAGGGGATTCCCTTTCGCCTGTCCTGTTCAATTTGGCATTAGAACATGCCATTAGGGAGGTAATGCGTACCGAGAAAGGATTGGATCTGGGAGGGACAACATCCGTGCTGGGCTATGCTGATGATCTGGTACTGTTAAGCGAAGACGTTGAAACTATAAAACTAAATACGACAACGTTAATGAAAGCCGGTAAAGAACTAGGACTCGAAATAAACGTGGATAAAACAAAATATATGGTTAGCTGCAAAAATGGCGATACTACTGGCGATATCGATATTGATGGTAATATGTTTGAACAGGTAGAGAAATTTAGATATCTAAGTTCTACGATAACTAGAAAAAACGAAATTGAAGAAGAAATTAAGGTTAGACTGAAGGCGGGAAATGCTTGCTTTTTTTCTGTGACAAAACTACTTAGTTCGCGCCTCTTATCCCGGAACTTAAAGATTAGAATCTATAAAACAATTACCTTGCCTACAGTTCTTTATGGATGCGAAACTTGGCCGCTTACATTAAGGGATGAGCAGCGTCTTAAGGTTTTTGAAAATAAAGTATTGCGTAGAATATTCGGACCGAAGAAGGATGAGTTAACCGGAGAGTTCAGACGGTTACACAACGCCGAATTGCGTGAACTGTATCTGGGTAATATAATTGAGGTAATTTCATCTCGGCGAATCAAATGGGCTTGTAAAGTTGTTGGACTTAGTAACGAGAGAATTCCTAAAAGGTTAATATTTGCTGTGCCGAATGGTAAGCGTCCGAGGGGCAGACCGAAGCGAAGGTGGGAAGATTGCATTAAAGCCGATCTGAAGGGACTGGGTTTGGACGGCGAACGGTGGAGGGAGGTGTGTAATAAGCGATTGGTGGTGTCGGCATCGAACCTTCGGGTTCGCTAAGCCTTTTTATTATTATTACATATATATATATATATATATATATATATATATATATATATATATATATATATGCTAGGTATTTTGTATATATTTGTATGATACATGCCAGACTAATGTACATATTTTTTAACTCTGCTATTATTCTAAGGGGACTTCAGCTCCAGAATAAAATTATTTTTCATTTCATTTCATTTCAAATATTGTTCGAAGTCTCTATAAATAAAGCACAGAGGCAAAGTTTTTGTCATATTGGAGTAGACTTGAGATAAGAGAGTTTTTCTTCCTCACATACACAACTATATATTAGTAAGATCAGATTATGAAGGAAACCAGTGTAACTTATACCACAGGAAAAAAATATATTATGCTGAAGTACTCTAGGTTTTTTAAATAATTAATTAATAAGAATGTATAATCTAAATTTAACATGGGATAACCCGCTGGGCACAGCTTGTAAAATATAAATGTTGATTATATGTATCTATTTATTGCTTATAATTATAAGATTATTTGTAAATTATCATGTTCCTTATTTAATTTGTTTTACATTATAGACTTCTTTTCCTGTTTCTGTAGTACATGATCTATGTACAGAAAATAGTAACTGACAAATTCTAGGAGTGCCAATTTTTTTTACTCACCATTTTATTTTAATCACTTCACTATTTATGGAATCTATAGAAGTTTTTTCTTTTGCTTTTAGGATAAAAAGGGAAATTTGAAAAATACTGATACTGCATACAAAGTGGAAGATTCTATTAAAAGTAAGTACACTTATTTTTATTTTTTTACATAAACATTTATTTATTTTATTCTGTTTGATTACATTATGTTTGTTCAAATTTGTAAGTTTGTCTATGGATGTTTGCCACCATGCAGTATCTTTAAATTCCTAGGTTTTCATAAATGATTTAAATTGTTATCTAATACTCTAATTATTTCAATTCCTGAATAAAAAATTTCATCTTAAATTTAATAAAATTTAAGATTTATAATGTTTTAATGGTCAAACTTTATTTTTTTTTTAAATTCACAAACTATAAATTAAGCTCATGCTCAAAAATGTGTGTTACTCTTGCTTTAAGCAGTCATTCTTTTCTTATTTAACATGTTTTGTTTATCATATGTAATAAATATTCAGGATGCAGTCATTATAAGGTTTAACTAATAAAACAGTCATTATAAGATTAACTATTAAAACCTTATAATGACTGTGTCATGTATATTTATCACCTATGATATGTAGAACAGTTGACTAACTTACTTCAATGTTTTGTTTATCATCTTTCTTGATCATCTCAAACTTTTTAACAAGAGGCAAGTCTGAACTGTTGATAGTTTAATACATTTTTCTTGGAAAAATAAATTCTTTAAGTTGATAGTTGTTATCTTGTATTATGATGCATTGGGCACTGATTAGAAGATATATCACCCTCGCCTAGCACAGATTCTGTCCACACCGCTTTCTCTCTGCCGTTATGTTCTGGGAATATCTCTCAGAACTGTTTTACTTGTTTATTCTATACATTTTACTGAAGAAAGCTTCATGGAATCTTATGTTTGTCTGATCTCAGACCATCATTTCTTTAATTAAATTAATGGATCATGGTCAGCTGCCCGATGAATGTTGCAATTTTTCTATAGTTTGTATCAGTAAATTATCACTTATGAGATCAGCAATTGACTTTTTTTCACTCTATTAAATAAAAACGTTTTTAGTGGCTGTCATATTTTATTTTACATATACAAAGCAGGATGGACTGTAACGAAGACACCGGGGTGAAAATCTCTATTTAGTATTAGGAGAGTAGGAGTCAACTTTCAGCCCAGTCCTCTAGGCTCTCCTGTGTTATCCTCCTAGTTTGTCTAAAACTAGTTTTGATAGGATCAATTATTTCATTATTTTGTGGTCAAACGTTTCAATTATTGTTTTGTATTGGGAGAATTTTTTTTATGTGTGTATCTGTGCAGTCAGAGATAAATGTTAGGTAGTTTAGTAGATTACTTTTATTAAAATAATGTTTAATTGCTTTTACTGGATCAATAATTAGTCAATATTTTGCCATAATTAACTACTGTCATCACTGCTAGTAGTTAAGTTGATCTGGTTGTTGATGTATTCTTTACATTTAATATTCATTACAGAAGGGTTTTTGAATAGCTGAGAAGATATTGTTAACATATTTTGATAAAAAAATAATTTTTTTCTTTCTTTTTATTCATTGATACTTACAACTGTATTACAAAAAAAAAATCTAGTAAATGTGCAGTCAGGAATATAATAAAATGAAATCTCTTGTTGAGAAACTACCCACTGATAGCTCTCAAATTTTAATTTACAAGACAATTAACATTCTGAAGCTTAATTTCCAAACTTATTCATTATTTTTATTTTAGTTTATTTTTAATTTAGTATATGGAGTACATAAAAAAAAAATGTATGTGTATGTATTAGTTATATGGTTCTATTTTGGTCTCTTAAAACAATTATGAAGTTCAATAATTTTTTTTGTTCATGTCTTTTAGTTGATGATAAGCAGATAGAAATATTCCAGCCTAATATTCTGGAACAGCCCATACGCTATGAATTTTCTGGTCTATTAAACTCTACAATCAATGATTCCTTTTATAAAACCTGTCACACAAAACAATTTTTTCCCGAACAGTTTCAGCAAAAGAATGACTATTCCAACGTTAACCAATTTGATAAATTAAGTAAAACAATCGTTGTTGTTCAGAATAAGGACTCATTATATAATAATTTTATTAATAATATAACAAAGATGGAAACATCTATTTCCGTTTTATCAGAGGAAACTCCAGTTCAAGAAAGTTGTAGTACTTCTTCCATCAAAGGTCCCCTTAAGCAGAACATTAATATTCTCTCAAATGAATCAGCATTTCGAAAAGTAGAGAAATCAGGCAAAAACAAGAAAAGAAATCGTTGTAAAAAGTTTATGAAGTCAATAAAATCAGACGATGTTAATATTGGCCATCTCGAAAGTAATGTGGAAAATTCAACAAAAAGCTTTAGTGTAGAAAATTCAACAAAAAGCTTTAGTTTAGAAAATTCAACAAAAACCTTTAATTTAGAAAATTCAACAAAAAGCTTTAGTTTAGAAAATTCAACAAAAAGCTTTAGTTTAGGAAATTCAACAAAAAGCTTTAATTGTTTGACAGATGAATGTTCTATGGTAAGAGAGATTAATGAAGTGTCAAAAAAAAGTGATTTTGATACACAATTTACTAATAAACAGGATCCAAGTATTGATGAACAACCATTCATTGGTGTATCTAGGTGGGTTAATTTCAAATTTGATTTAAATGCTATTTTGAGAAGCATGGAAGAGGTGGCTCAAAATAAAAAGAAACAATTATGAATGCTCTATTTTCAATTCTAATAGTTTCTTTGTAAATCAATTCAAGTGAAGTTTCACATAATCACTATAGCCCTTATTTGTAAAATGCATGGAAAAATTCATACTAAAAAAAAAATACCTTTTAAGATATTTTTGTAATTGTATACTGTTGGTGGAAGTAAATTAAAAATCATGAATTGACTTCAATTTTATTTAATTATTTTTGAAAATAGCACATGTTATAATTAGCTTTACCTTTATTATCAACTGACTTACTGCCTAAAAAGTAGTCTTTAATTAGTATTTCTTAATTCCCTTTACATATTATATTTTTAATAACTAATGTCTTTTGATGATGTATTTTCTTCTTTCATAGAGTAATGTTTAATAATTGTATTCTATGGTTATTACTGAAGAGTGTGTTCCTTTTGGGAACCAGTAGGCCCTTCATAGAAATCGAGAATTAATTATATTAAATAATCATTACATTTAATAAAATATTTTTTGTAAAATATAACTTTGATACATATAAATGGTTAAAGAACACAAGGAAGGACGCTAAATACTGAGTTTTAAATTAAAATAAATAGTTTGTTTTATAATTGAGGATGTTTTAGTGTGACAATAAAAATTAATATGTAATTATTTTACATTTTATATATACATATTATACAGAAAATTATGTCCACAACTTAGTGTATCATTCAGAACTTGTTGACTTTTTATTCGGATATATTACTGTTTTGTTTCTTTATTCATAGCATGCAAGTACTTTATCAATATTTTAGAAAAAGTACAGTTGCTTCCTTTTAACTACTTATTTCACATATGTAAGGTATCCTTTATATGTTCTGTTAGGTATATTCTATTGAAAATGTATATATATATATATATATACACACACACACACACACACACACCGTAAACTGGTCACTTTAGGAGAAGGAGTTGACTATGGGCTAGAGTTTATTTTGAATTCAAAACCATCTGGTGGATTGAAACGTAGTTATATCAAGAATAAACAAAATTTTTCTGATTACAAAAATGACCCCTGTTCCAGTACGTAGTCACTTACAAGTCTCATAGTAACGGTAGTTTACAGTGTGTGTTTGTATTTACATTTAAGGATATTTCATAACTTTAAACTACTTTAGATGTATGTTAGATTTTCAAATAAAAGTATATATTAGAACAACTGTTGAAGCAGCTATTTACTGTTACCACTTGTAAATAATTACTGCCAATATAGTATGTAAAATTTACAAGTGTGATGATTTTAATTTCATTGAAAATGTAATGAAATGGTATTTTTAAAATTTTATAATGTTGGAGTGCTGCTTTTGGAGTTACTTTTTTGTCCTATTGCTTTGGTAGTTTAAATATATTTATGAATTTCAATATATATATATATATATATTGATGCTTGAAGGATGTACTTAAATCTAAAATTAAAATTCATTTCATTGTTTTTATACGGTAATTATTCTATTGTTTTTTTTAACTAGAAAAACTGTTTGTACTTTAAGTAGATTATGGTTAGTTTGTGAAGTACATGCTGGTTAATGTACTGTTTATTTATCCTATATTTCGAGGGGAAAATATATGTTTGTTGAATATTTAAGAAGTTTTATCTTGGATATTATCCAGCCGGAATAATGAAGTAACAGAAACTGTAAAACAATTTTTAAATTCATTTATAGAATAAGTTATAAAAAGTAGTCATATATTGCCCATCGTTAATATAAATGTTGATATTTTTATAATTTATTCATTAAAGGTTATGTAATGCATATGTTTATAGTTTGATATGAATTGACCAAAATCAGTACCTGGAATTGGAATATTGCAATAATATTGTTGTTAATAAGTAATAAACTATAATGGTATATGAATATTAAAGTTTGCTCAACCATCCAATTTACTGTAAACTATTGTAGGTTAGTCATTTGTATTTTTAAATACAGGTGGTCTTATAAGTAAGTTATTTGTACTTTTAATAGCTTGTCAATTAAATAAAATTATTTTCAAACATCTATTCATTTATTTTGTTTTTAATTTTCAAAGTCCACGTATTTACTTTCATTCTCAGTAAACATCATTCAATTACACTTCTACATGCGAGAAACCCTTTTGCATGTTTTTAATTTAGAATAATAAGTATCTTTTACTAAAGTCAATTGTTTTTGTTTCCTTCTTTCCTGCACAGACCTACAAAAAGCCTCAATCCATGTCATCAATGCTTTCATAAAAGCTTATGATTTTCTTCTCTATACCATTCTTATCTCCTAACTTCACGACCTAAAACTGTTAAATATCACCTAATACTTATCTCACTCTTTTTGTTTTTTTCATTTACAGTTAAAATTTACAGAGGAAGCACTTACATCGATATGAAACTTATCCAATCTATTAGTTATCTACGAAAACCTTTCTCTGGATGTCTTCTCTATGCTTCTCAACAGGCCCCTCTGGTAGCTTTTGTATTCTTTATAAACCTTACAATAATGAACCATTTTCAAAAGGAATATTCTTATACTGGCAGTAGGGCATATACTCTTCGGACCCGGTGTGTTCAAAAGGTCAAAGATTTCCTTAGAAATAAATCATTTTGTTAATAATTTTATCACTCCTATGTAAGTTAGAAATTCCTGCCAATTCCAAGTCTGAAGCAAACAAAAATTTAAGAATATATTGAACAAATGGTAGAACATCAAATATTTTGTATATACTTTCAACAATCTGCAATAATCCTAGAGGTAAGTAAGGCATCTACTTTTTATGATTTTTTTCCTTGATTATGTTTTACATTAAGGGAGTATTTCAACAATTAGGCTGACCGGCCACCGAAGCTGAGCATAGCAAGAAGGGGTCGGCAACCGATTGCGTAGCGGAGCTCAGCTCAGTCAGCAAGTTACCTTGCATCTCATATTCCGTATAGCATTTTAAAAAAGAGCGAAGTTGATCATGTGGGAGTTGAAAAGAAAAATCGGATATTTTCGGTAAAACTTTCGATCAAGAATTCTTCCAAATCCATTGCATATTTTACACTGAATCAAAATAAAATAATTTGAGAGGTTTTTCATTGAAAACAAGCGGATAACATTTTTAAAAGTATATATTTAGCATATATAATATTTTTAAAAATAGCAAAGATGATCATCAGCTAAACAAAAAAAAAAAAAAAAAAATCGAATATTTGTGTATAAAATAGAATAGCTTTCCTTACATATTCGATTAAAAATTCTTTCACATTCATTGTATATTTTACACTGAACCAAAATAAGATAATTTGAGTTTGTGCAGTGAAAACTAGCGGGAAAAAAGGATGACACTGAGGAACAAAGCCCCTGGTGGTGTGACAGCAGTGAGTAGGTGTCGTGGGGGAAGCTAAGCGTAATGGAGTCAGCTTCCAAAACCGATCCTCGGCCAAGACTAAGTTGAGCTGATCCTTGCTATGCTACTCAACTCAGCTCTGCTTCTGGTGACCGGCCTCTTATTGAAAACCTTTGGTTCAGTTTTGAAAGCTGACTCAACTCAGCTTAGCTTTCGGTGGCCGGTCGAACCTTAAACAAAGGTCTCTTTTGAATTACTATATAATTCTGAACATGGGTGGTTAAGTGTTTTTTCTTTTGGAATACATACAGTTAAGAATTATTCCATGCTTATTATTTGAGGAAAAGGAAGATATTTGCCCTTCTAATTTATTGGATCAGGTAAAGCACTCTTACTATGAGCAAGTATTTACTCATAATTTGTAAGAAAATTTCTCTACAAAACTTTTATTAAGGAGGGTTCAAACATTAAGCAAGATTTCTCAAGTTTATAAATTCAGGAAACAATTTTTAGCTTTCAAAATGTGATATTTATCAAAAGTCTATGTTAAAATCAAATTTTGAAAAACAGTTGGCCAGTTAATTTGAGCTAATGAAAATCCTGTATCCAAAATTGAATTGAATTAGTTTAGTTTAATTAACACAAGGTGTTTCTATATTTATTTGACATAATAATAATAAGTACACACCACACTGTACATTCACTGACAGCTTTTTATCACAATCATCATTGTAAAGAAATTGATCCGACCAATTTTCCAAGTTATAACATTTTCTTCTGATCCATTAAGAATTTTACTACTTCAAATAAGCTGCATGAGAAACTATACTGATGATCCACTGCAGTGTCTAACTTAGTAGTCACAAAAACTAAATGCTTATCAAATGAGTTAGTTTTAATTGTTGCTGATCTTATAAAAAACAGCAATTCAGTGGAATTGCCTTACTTGACAACTTTCACTTTCTAAGGATTAAAAACAGATGGGAACATCTCGTATGTTGTTTCTCTAGCAAGAGATGTTTTTAGCGGGGCACTTATCTCTCAACTAACATTCTTTTCCATATTAAGAATAATGTTTGTGACATATCTGAAGAGGAAGGAAGAAGTGTTATGTAGATTAAAGGTATGATAGATTTTCTGTGCTATAGTAAAATAGTATCCTATGTTTTAGCCAACTCTGGCCATTTTTTTTTTTTTTTTTTATTGAAATCAGTTTTTCTTAATCTTATAATGATTTTCTTTCTCCTTGATAATCTCATTCACAAATGTGGAAAATCAAATCTCTGGAGTCAGATTACGTACAGAATTGACTTTCGTTAATGATATTTCCAATTGAATTATAAAAAAACTATCTGATTTATCCAGTACAATTTTTAACTTTTTTTTTTGTTTTGGCTTGTTGGTTAACTTAAATAATTGGAAAATATTATATTTAAGGCTTTTAATCACTTTTATATCCTTAATTTAACCAATTAAATAATAAAGTCTATATTTTATGGTATCTTTAATAACTGCTCTATATAATTTTGTTCTAAAGCATGTGTAATTTTAGAACAGATAGTGTTGCTTAAAAATTAAAGATAATGTGAATTTGATGCATACAATCACATACATTATGCAAATAAATCCTTTATGATACTCATATTGTTTATGTCACTCACTATTCCTGGGGAATAAATAGGAAAACAGAAGGTTGTGATTGGTAATAAAGACAAAGAAAAACTAGAAACAGAAAAATAAACCATTTAGAAGAGCGAAGATGATGAATTCACCATTCTGGGAATTAAGGATAAGGTGGTAAGTACAAATTAAAAAGCCAGGAACACCATGAAAAATTTGAAATTTCAATTGTATGTGAGTGAAAAACAAGAACATTAATGGTACAATAATAATTGTATTTTAAGTAGAAGGTTGTTTTATTAGCCAACTATACCAACATGATACCTGGGAGCAAGCTATACAAGAAATTTAAAATCAAATGAGTTCATTAGGAAGATTGATCTTTTATTAGACTAAAAGACCTTAAAGGTTCTACTGATTTTGAAGTTATGGAACACACAAATATATATATATATATATATATATATACACACACACACACACACACACATATATATACGTTTATCTTCTACTGTTATTTTGGAGGCAAAATACTGTCTATTTATATAACTATAAGCTTTTTTAATTAGGTACTATTACTATTTTAATTTCTAATTATTTGATAATTATTTTTTTCCATTTTTAATTGGTTTTATTTTTAGTATTTTCTCTAGATTCTCATTAATTTAACTATTAATTACATTTCTAATGGTATATTATGGTAGAATTAAATATAATCATATAGGCATTTTAAATAATTATATACTTACTTTAAGTTCTTATTATGCAATAATATAAATGAATACTGTACAAACATTGGTTATGGATAATATTATCCTATTAACCATGGGACATATAATTGATCAAAATAAGTAAATTTTATACAGTTACTATGAAGGAAAACACATGCATACACACGAAAACTCTCAAACACCCAATACTGTAATCGTGAAAATTTGCAATGTACATAAATATAGATGCCAATATTATTTATAATGGATTTTTTTCTTATTTAATGCTTAGCAATGTTAGTTAAAATCAAATTAACAATTTATATTAAAAACAAATTTTATGTTCAATAAACTATGTGTTACAAACTTAATGGTGTGGTATCTGGTGTAGAAAAATAACGATTTCTTTTTTATGTGATCAATAAATAATATCAAAATACATAGGAACGCACACTCTCTCTCTTTCTCTCTCTATATATGCTGTAATATGTAACTGTTCGAAGATAAGGAGTTAAAGATATTGCTTTTTAAATTGTCTATTCCTATCATTTAGTACATTGTTTAAATTTCTCATATACTTTTCTTCTTCTGAGAAACGAAAATTATTTATAAAATCACTGATTTACACTTTGAGGGGTTATATAATATTTTGAAAAGAATAATATATCCTTTAATAACATTTACAAAACTAACTGGTAACTATTTTCTTACAAAATTTAATATTTACAATTTATAATTTAATCTAAAAAAAAAATTAAAAATGATAACCTTTTCCTTAACAACAAATCTACCATAGACATTAGGACAAAATAACAGAAGATAATTGAATTAAAAAAAGAGAAAGAAAAAGGTAGATAAACAGAAGATCCAACTCTATTACGCATTAAACACAGAATTCTTTGTATAAACTTATGGAGTATTTTTAATTTTATTCAAATAAAAATAAAACTTGGAATGTTTTAGAATATAAATAATAACTAAGTCTTTTATAAAACTGTAAAGAAAACCTTTATAAATATACATACAAACTGAATTAATGTACAACTATCACAAATTAATTAACTGTTGATTAAAAAAAAATACATAAGTCCTCAACATTATAATTTATACATACATATGTATGTACTAAAGGGGAAGAAGTAATAAAATATTTAAAAATAACTTTGTCAGAACTCTGAATTTTGTATCTGAAAGTTTTTTAAAAGAAAACATTATTATGTTATGGAAATGGTTGACTGCGATTATAATTTGAAAAGGAGTTGATCGCGGTTGCGGTCAAATTTAATACATTGTATTTGGTACTGCTTGCTGGATGCAGTTGGGAGACTGCTGTTTCCCAGTGCTCAATCTCCTAACTGATTCCAGTAGTGTCAGACACAACATATTAAATTTGACCGCATCCACGACCAACTTCTTCTCAAATTATTAAAAATAGGTAAACAGCTCTAACAAAAAAATAATAATAAAATAAATAAGATTAGAGAAATCATATTAAAATAAAACATATTGGCACTGGAAAAAAAAACAGTGAAAATTTGGCATTGTATCATTCTATGATACATATATAAATAATCAGAAATGCCAAAACATTATTGCATTTGTAAAAACAAATATAGATGGGCCATCATACTATAACTTCATTTCTTATTACAGTATCTAATTTTCAATTCAAGATATAGAAATAACAAAGAGATAGTATAATTTTTATAACAATATTCTTCAAAAAATAATAAGATGATTGCAATAATACTTTTACTTATAAGCAAATATGCATGTCATTTATATATAACATATACAAAATTTTAGATTGAAAGACAGCGATTTTCTTACATATCTAGCACCTAAACAAGGATTTTTACTTAATTTCAAATGCATTTTACAACAAAATATATTCAATTTATACAACATAGTCTCAGATAGAAATTCGAAAACAAACAACTTTCAATAATATTGAAAATAATGTTTTTAATTATTTCTAAAAATGATAACCTAGAATAGCAGACATGTCAAAGTATAATTAATATGTATTAGGAATAAAGTCGTATATATTTATTTTTTCGAAACCTTAAGAAAGAAAATTATCCACTGATTTTTAAAGCCCCAAGATGTTAAAGCCCACTGCACTGTTTAATATACCCATATGTTTGATTTTTTTAAATATAATAAAACATAATAGAAAAATGTAATTATTGATTATTTCCATGTTTGGTATCTGCCCATACAATCTAATAGATGTTCAAAAACAGTACAATGCTTTACTTTAATTAAGATGTAATGTATAGGTACCAAAAAGCTATTTATAATAGCTATATATAATAGTTTATTTATCTAGCAGAATAAATGAAATCAATGTAATTGACCACTGACAATATTCTAACTTTAATGTTTCCAATTGTAGTAAAAGATTAAATAGAAATGTTCAAGTATTTAAATGAAAATCCAATTATAATTCATTAAGTAGATGTTTTAATCTTATAATTCAGTTTAATTTCAGTAGTTGATTCGTAGAAAATTTTAAAATATAACCTTCAACATGTCGCTTTAAAAATATTTTTCAAACAAATACATACACTTTATTTAAATATAGACATTTTATTTTCATATTAATTTTTTTCAAAAAAAGGTTTAATTTTACACTTACCTAATTCATCTAGTTACTGAATAATATAATTCTATATACATATCATTTACTTAAACCAAAGCACTTCATATTGAATTTTCGATTCAGTATTGTAAAAACCTGATTATAGAAACCACTGGAGTGTACATGCAATATATATATGCACATATACACACATATACTTCGTACATACACACACATACATTCTCTGAAATATGTATGTATATAATTAAGATATCTTTCAGGTCTACTTTTGCTTAAGCTAAAATACAGCTAATAACTATACATTTTACTATAAAAATACAATCTTAAATGGTGAGAGCATTAAACTTAACCTTATATTATTATTAATGACAGGAACTTCTAGAGTTATCCTAACTTCATGAAAACACTTGATAATAAATAAACAAAATCAAGATAAGTATGGATTTAGCTGTTTAACTGCATTAACTTTGAGAAGTAAACAAACCATTTTTTTAAATTTCCATTTGTTTTATTCCATATATTATTGAAAAATACTTTGAAATGAAAGAAAAGAAATAACAATTTAAATTATTATATTTAATAAATATGATACTTTAAATTCATTAAGAGTTAACTAATAGATAAAACATGATTTGATTGCACCTCAAAAGTTTAATTCAACTAATAAGATAACAAAATTACTAAGTATGTTCTGATCCTATGTTACTGAGGGAGATGAAATGTATAAAGAAATTCTAAGAAAGGTACTAAAGAAACTGGTAACTTTGAATTAAGACTTCAAACAGATTTCAATCAGCCTAAAAAATGATTTTTTTTTTTTTTTATGCTAACTATCTTTTAACTAATACATCTTAACATAAATATAGTTTTTGTTATAAACAGTTAAATTTTAATTTTAGAGGAAGGAAGTGTGGTTAAAGACAAGACTACTGAATTTTAGTCAAAGTATTAATAATTCATTGGGTTATCATGGCCATTAGCTTCCATATTTTCTCCCAGAAATATCGCTTCAGATGGAAACTTACTTATTAAATATGCAAATTTTTAATCATTTTAAAATAGGCTGAAAAATGTTTAGGAAAACACTGGCCTTTTGAGATCACCAGATATGTATATAAATTTGTATTGGATGCATAGTTTGAACAATAAAATAACATTTTAGTAAATAATTATCAAATAACCACATTTTACTATAAAAAATAAATTGTTTCCTATGCCATCAGACGTTTATTTGGTTAAAGGTGGAGAGTAAGGTGATAATTAATTGTTTTTTTGTTATTATGAAATGATACTAGAATCTTAACCAGGCAGCACAAAACCATACAATATCTTTTCTCATAACAAAATTAGTTTCTGCTTTTTCTATCCTTTCTTAGAAAAAAAACTCTTTCTTTAGAAGTTTAAAAGAACTTTTACATACCATATTATATTTTACCTTATCCGTTACACCTAATTTACATGGTATGAATATATTAATGGTAATCAAGAGACGAAACAAACAATATGTATATATACAATTACAATTTATATATATTATTATGACACTTCAGTTTTTATTGATTGTGTATGAGGAAGACTAAGGTCTTCAGCTTGAACTGTTTGTTGATATTCATCTCCTTGTACTCGAAGTTGGAGTTCTGCCATGTTCCCATTACAATGAGCATGAGTACTGAGATCAGTTGGTTCTTCCTCACACTCGTTCTTTAAACAAGAGATTTGTGTTTGTGGTGGTTGTAAATGCTGTTGCTGCTGAGATTGTTGTGGTTGCTGAGGTTGTTGTACCTGTTGTGTTGTTTGCACTTGGGGAAGTGACTGAGGGAACTGCATAGATTGATGTTGCTGGGCCTGATGGCCAACCATTTGGTGTTTTAGTAATGATATATGTTTAATGTTTTTCAACTCACTAGGATTTCGCAAAAACCTTTAAAAAAAAAAGTAATTAGTTTTCTAAAACAATTGATAATAATTAATAAAAACATTGAACTAACTTCTAATTTGCAAAATGTTTTCTTTTTCACTGTTTATATCATCATTTGTACTAAAAATTTGAATAATTTGAAATGTTAGTGAAACAGTTATTATTTATTTTATAAAAATTTGTTTAAAGAAGCACTTTATTTGCAATTAATTACATAAATATTTTATAAGCATAATAGTCATTAAATAGTTAAGAGACTTGGGATACAAATACAAAATACACAAATCTTTAAAAATGTGTTAGATTTTCACCACTTCTAGCACTTAAATGTATTAATTTCACTAATAGAAAGCTTAATTTAGTTCAGACAGTAGATTTAAAAGCATTTTTATATCAATACTGAAGTAATATGTTCATTATAATAATTTGCCATACTAAATGTTTTAACCAGTACCAATGATATTTATTGTTAAATAGATATATTTAATTATATGTCATATGCAATTTGCTCCCATTTTCCTTATCCCTGGTTGAAATCTGGCACTAACAATGGATTAACCATTCTGGGGCCCACCCACTCTTCATATAGTGAGCAATCTTAATTAAATAATTAGTTAAGAGGGGAAATCTTGTGGTTGAGTGTGATCTTGACCCTATCACCTCCCATTCACACATAAAATCGTATTTTTGTTTTTATTTTGAGAAAATCGATCACTTATTGAAAGCAAACAAGTTATTAAAATTATCTGTTGACCACAAATATCTTTAAATAGTTATTTATAGTTTTGTTATATAACATTTTTAAATTGTCATTTTGAACACGATAAAATAGTGATTTTATATCTATAAATATATTAAACTCTAGTTTATTAATGAAAACGTAGTAACATAATAAGAGGAGAAGTTAATTTTTATTTGTCAATAAAATATTAGTGAGCACTAACTATATTGTTAATACCTATAATATTAAACTGTTATAATTAATGCAATAAAGAAATAACAAGGAAAACTTACTGGTAGCAATGCCTCTCCCCTTGAACTTTACGTAAAATATTAACTCTGTAATAATATCTTAAAGCACGAGACATTTTATCATAGTTCATTGATAAGTGATTTTTCTGGATTCCCCATAATTTCGCAAGTCCTGGAGGGTCAACTATTTTAAAAACTCCAGCTTCTCTGTTTTTCCAAGCAATATAAGAAGTGTATCGTTGTAAAGAATCATTAAGAAGTTGTTGGAGAAAATCCCAAAGCAATCGTCCATCTAAAAAAAAAAAAAACACAAAAATAAAAATAAAAATTGTAACTAACCAATCTTTGTTACATTACATAACACAAGTAGAAAAAAATAGGGAGATTAAAAATGCTATGTATTCCGGCCATTAAGGATCATTCCTATATCATACAGAATTGTTGCTACCATTAAAATTTAGCTATAAAAAAAAATGTATCCTTTGCACCTGTCTCATTCCATTGCATAATAATATATTTCTCATACAATTCCAGAAATAATGAATTTACATATTTATAAACTGAAATAATGAGCCTCATAATTTAGTAAGCGATTCATCAACCCTGTAATTTACAAACTCTAACCCGTAAAGTTAAAAAAAAAACATTGTTCAACCATTTCCAGATATCAGAATTTATGGGATTGCTATTAATATTTTTACCAAATACTTTAATTTCAGAAAAATTAAAATCGAAATCTAAAGATCAAATAAAATTTCTTTCTGACATAAAGGAACTACATTCCAAAAGGCCTGAGAGCCACTCATCTAAGCAGGCCAATCAGCAGCCACTTTGTTACATCATAAAACATAATAGAGGCTTATTGCATAAACATTAAGAATATTAAACAAATTCACATATCAAGAAAGATTTAGTTTTCTCTTTAATTTCCATGACCAGCATAAGTTAAGAGGGCCATGGGTAGGCCAAACTTGGATAAAGTATTAACTTAACAACAACATGAGAAATGATGTTCATGGCAATTAAATAAATTTTCTAATAACAAGAGAAATTAAGAATGCTGTATTGTAAACTCAATTTACTCACTAGTATTAGGTTCTGAGATATTGTCTGAAGGAAAAAATACTTGTGGTTTGACATTCAGTGGAGATTGTGGTTGAGGACTGGAAAGTGAATTTTGTAGTACAGTAGGGCTGTTAGGTTCTTCTTCAGAATCAGACAATGTGCTTCCAGAGCTACCACTCTGACCTCCAGATTGGTGATCTGTAACAGACAAAAAGTTATTTAGTGTATACATATTTTATGAAGATAAAACATTATGAGAGAAAAGTCAGCAAATTACAATTAAATACAAAATTGACTTTCAAAAATAATTTATTGAAAAAGAAATGTATTACTTAAATTGAATTTATATTTATTTTCTTGTGGATAATTAATTAATATAAATAATATTTTTTATCTATAAGTGTTTTTCTTTAAAACTTTCTGAATCAACTTCTTAAACTATTAAATGATATATTTAATTCTGTGAAATAAGAGTTGAAATTCACTCTTATTTTTTATTATATTATATTATATTCTTATCACTCTTATAAATTTGATTGAAGTGAAAAAAATAAAAGTATCATGGACAGCTATTTAGAAAATTAGATTTAATTTATAATTGCTGCAGCATCATACACACAAACAAAAATGAGTTATAAGAAAAATTAAAATCATTGTAACATTTGTTTTCTTTTTACAAACAAATAAAAGTCAGCTATCAACAACATTAAAAACTAAAGATTTTTATATAACTTACAAGTGGAATTATATGAATTGTTCACAGCTGTAGTATTCTGATCTGGTTGTCTAGGTGAACCTTGGCTGTCTAAAGAGGGTGCTGGACTAAGTGTGACTGAATTTTGTGCTGGGGGGAAGTCTATGGCTGGTGATACTGTCCAAGTGGGAGTCAGAGGAAAATGTGGAGTAATAGGAGAAGATGGAACCCTCCCCTGCATTAGCATGTGCAACACATTATGAAGAACATCACCACAGCCAGGACTTCTTTCATTCAAATCGGACTTCGTAAGCAGACACAGTGCTTTACCTGTTGAAAGAATTTATAAAATTTAAATTAAGATTCTTGTTATTTGGTATTTAAAAGTCTAATTTATGAATACAAAAAAATATATAATAAAAATGATAAGTATAAAGACAGTAATCACAAAAGGTAGTGAGAAAATGTTCTCTAAGATGTTTTATAAGATTTATTTTAATGGACACGTCAATACTATAATTTTAGATAATAATTCTAATCGTATAAACTTCAATGTTTATTCTTTTTATTCAAGCACTTCAATCCCATTTTCCTTAAATAGATAATGGGATCCTCTTTAGTTTTATTTAAAATTAAGCATCGATATCCTAAGTCAAGCAGTACACTGACAGCCACAACAGTGCCTCCCAGCACAGGTATCCAGGCTACTGTAGCCTATTGGGATACTGATGCTCAATTTAACATAATACTCAAGAGGATCCCATTATTAAGAAAAACATGATCGAAACGTTTGAATAAAAAGAATAAACATAAAAGATACTGTAGTATACAAAAATATAATTAAGTGACCTATTACCCAATTAAAATTATTATCTTAAAATATATAATATATATATATTTTTCCCATTGGCATTACTGACTATAAAGATCTTTTGCCGCCTTAACAAGCCTGGTCCATCCCTGCCTGTCCTGGGCGATTTCTTTCCATCTGCTCTATTGCATCTTTGTTAATTCAATCAATCCATCTGCTTTTTGGCCATCCACATGGTCTTTTACCTTCTATTGAGGCATTTTATTGTCACATAGAGGCTTCCAGATGGATTGGTTGAATTTGTCCAGATGGATTGGTGCTACATGCCCCTTCCCATCTTAACCTCCGTGCTTTCATATCATGAGATATTGATAGGCCAGTTTCTGTAAGCAGTTCTTTATTGGTCTTTCTTCATGTGTTAGTACTCTGATTCCAGATAGCTCTGGTTATCGTGCGGAGGATTTTTCTCTCAAATCTTTCAACACTTTTTTCTAGGGTGATGGTTAGTGTCCAGGTCTCAAAAATATATATTAGAACTGGCATTTTACACCCTTAATTAATTTTCTGGATTTCAATACCTTTGAAAGGGAGAAGAAAGCTCTGTTTGCGCTAGTTATATGCTGGTCTATTTCTGCCCATTGGTCATTCATTAAAGTTATTGTGGACCCAAGGAATTTGAATTTTTTTACTCTCAGGAATGATTTTCTGTCAATGCAGATTCTGTTATTGGGGTGGATATTCGGCTTATTATCATATATTTTGTTTTGTCTTCATTTATTTGTCTTAAAATATATATATATATATATATATATATATATATATATATATATATATATAAAGAGAGAGAGAGAGAGAGAGAGAGAGAGATAAAAGTAGTAGAAAATAGTTAAATTCTTACCATTCATTTGAAAGAAGTCCATATCGAATCGTGGCAAGTCAAATTCATATTCACACCATCGAAGAAATGACATAACATCTTCTCTGGTCCATAACCTGGGGTCACTTGCTATAAAGACAATGAATATTGAATAAATAAATTATAAAATGTTAATAAAACAATGGATTTAAATGTATCTCAAAATTTGCCACTAAATTACTTCCAATAGTTTAAATCTTTTAAGAAAAAAGGGGAAATCAGCTATGTATAAAATTTTAATTTATATAACTGAAATGAACTATATTTATATTTATAAATTGTAGTCATTGATTATATTTTTATATAACATAAAACACATTTATAAAATGAACTTCTTTTCTAAGGTCTACAACTTAGGTTGAAATGTTGGCACCCATTAACCCTTTGACTGCAGATGGGATACATGCCTTCCCGGTGATGTGTTGGGTCACTGGAGCGGCCGGGATATATTATGCCTTCCCAGTGATGAGTTGGGTCACTGGTGCGGTCGGGATACATGCCTTCCCACCTGGGCGGTCGCCACTTAAACAGGTAGGGGCAACTCCCGCCTTCACCATTTGACTTGTGGCTTGTTCTGTGCATTCATTAGTCCCCTGTAGCTAACTCAGCACAGTCGATTCGGATTCTAACCATTTGGTTATCAGTTTCAGATTTATTCTGAACCCAGGGTATTTCCATATCCATGGTCTTATTTATATTCTATTTAAATGTTTTAAACATAAAATAAATGTTCATAAGTTAATTTTATAATTTTTCTTTTTTTTTTTTAATTTGGTTTTGACTGAATGCTGATTTTGGCACATGTGAATATCTGTTATTTACTAAACAAATAAATGTAAGTTTTCAACATTTTTTATAAATATAATTAAATTAAAATGTAATTATAAAAATTAATAAATGCAAATATATACAGAATTAAAATGATGCTTTAGTTGTTTTATCATTTTTCCATCCATCTAAAAACAATATATATATAATAAAAGATGATCTTGGGAAAGGGACTATAATAAGTATTGAAGAGAAGAATAGTTGGGGTGATCAGTCAAATAAGAAGGCAAAATAAATGATAATATTTATTTTTTCATTTGCCGACGTTTCGACCTGAAGTTCAGGCCATCATCAGGGCTGAACTTCAGGTCGAAACTATTTAACCACTATTATAATAATTATTAGTAGAAAAAGGCCTTTTTAGTCTTGATAATTAATTACTTTATTTAAAAAATAACGTAATTATTTATCAAGACTAAAAAGGCCTTTTTCTACTAATATATATACATCTTTCATATAATATAAAAGTGTTTGAAACTCAAAATAAATCTAAGTGCAATAATAAAATTTATAACTGCGCTATTTTCAATATGGAACTTTTTTAGGTAAGAAAGAAATTTGTAAATACAAAGAAATATATAATTTGAATCCGGTAGTCTCCTTATTTTAGAAATAATATAATTTAATTTTTATTATCACTCACAGTTATTGTGTGTGATCATTTTCAGTTATTTTGCTTTTCATAAATGAGCAAATACATAAGAAAGCAAAGTGCTGTGGTATTGCTGCTTTAATTTTGCATTGCTATGTGCGGCCGGGAAGGCATAAATCCCATTTTTTAAAAGTTAAAATAAAAAACGTTAAAATGCATTTTTGAAAGATAAGATCTCAAGTCATCGCAGGGGTGACTCAAAATAACAATTTAAATAAATTTATGCAAAAAATAAATCCATTTTTTTGGACGTCTTAGTGGATTTCAGGATGCAATGTATAGTAGAAATTTTCGAATGAGCTCTCACAGTCAAAGGATTTAACAATAATTTTTTATTTATTGTTGTATTATATTTCTCCCAGGAACCAACCATCATCTATCTTCTTTAATTATTTAAATGTCTGAATTTAATCAATGAGCTAAAAAGGTATCATGGACGACTGCCACTACTACCGCAAGATCTAATGGCATTTTGCTGAAGGTCTTCAGGTTACCACAAATAGCTTGCAGCAAAATATTTTAATGAATTTGAAATATTAACAGAACTAAATTTTACGAAATGACGAAAATAACATCAACTCTCTTTTATATAATGGCCCAACAACACCAAGATTCTTTTAATGTAAATAAAAATACTAGCAGTTAATCTTACAACTACAATAATAAATTTCAGTGGAAATGAGTGATAAAAAGTTACAAAACATTAACTATTCAAAATTTCTGATTTAGAGATGTAGAAGGATTAATACCAATGCTCTACATTGATATTGTATCTCACTTGAAAACAGCAACATTCCATGTGTTTTTGGTGTGAAGAAATTGGAATTTCTACATAAAAATCATTAGTTAGCTCTTGTTTCAAAGATATAGTTACTTTTTGCATAATATGGGGTAATTTACTGCTCCTGGGTTGGTAGGATTGATTTCTGTCTGTTATCCGGAACGACTAGCTGTGAATCACAGAACCATTTTGCTGACAGTTGTATGCAGTGTTTACATTTCAAGTTACTCTTGACATGATTTTTCTTGCTTCAGGCATTCTTTCAACGATTTTGTCGTGATAACCCAGTAGTTTTGGTGAAGTTACAATTTCCAGGAAGAGTGCGAATGCTCCTGACAACTTTTGTTACATTTGCAGAAAGTAACCTTTGCTAGTCAAAAATGTCCTATCACCCAGATGATCAAAACAGCATAACACAAGTATTTTGGGGTGAAGGTTGGTGACCAAGACAAACCGTGGGCCCTACATATGTGCTGAATCACATATAGCATAACCTTAAGAGAATAGTTGAACAAGAAAGTTCGTTCAATGCGTTTTGTTATTCCATGGTATGGAGCGAGCCTACTAATCACACTGACAACTGCTACTTTTGCATGACCCCTCCTCTTCAAAATAGAGTGTCACGAAAAAGCAATCTGAAGTGAAGTACCCTAACATTCCTTCTGCTATATGGCCAATACCACCCGGGACGAATTGCCTGTTCCAAGGCTTCCTGAACACTATAACTTTAATTAGGACGAGGATAATGAAGAGGTAAATCCCCTAGGAGGAGCCCCATCAGATGATTCTGATTTTTCTTTCAAACAAGAAGAGCGAAAACCCACTTGCTTATTCAAGCTGAATTGAGTGACTTGATTCGGGACCTGGATTTGTCCAAAGAGAAAGCAGAACTTTTGGGTTCAAGATTGAAGCAATGGAACTTCTTACAATCTGAGTATAAAGATTACAATGTAAGAAATCGTCAGAAAGACTTGATCCACTTTTTCAAGAGTATGAGAACCTTGTTGCCTGTTGTGATGTCCCAGGTCTGATGAATGCATTAAATCTCAATCACAACCCTTTTGAATGGAGGTTATTCATAGATTCATCAAAGCTATCCCTCAAGGCAGTTCTGTTGCACAATAGCACTTTACTTCTCTCTATCCCTATTGGCCATGCTGTCCACATGAAGGAAACTTACCAAAACATGGAAATCCATCAAATACCAGGACTACCAATGACAAATCTGTGGAGACCTAAAAGTGATGGCAATTCTTTTAGGCATTAACAGAGATATATTAAGTACTGTTGTTTCTTATGTGGGTGGGACAGTCAGGACAAAGCATCTCATTACATCAGGAAAGAATGGCCTCAAAGAGAAGTCCTGATCCCTGGACAAAAAATGTTCTCTGCAACCGTCTTGTGGGCCCTGAAAGAATCATTTTGTCTCCACTACATATAAAGTTACGACTCATGAAAAATTTTGTCAAAGAAATGGACCGATCACGAGAGGCTTCAAGTACTTGAGATGAAAATGTATTCGCTTAAGTGAAGCTAAGGTTAAATAGGGTGTATTTGTTGCTCCACAAATCTGTGAGCTTCTTAATGACAGGGAATTTTTTAATATTCTTCGGGGTAAAGTTAGAGAAGCATGGGAAGCATTTACAGCTTTTTTTCTTGGGTAACAAAAGAGAGGACAATTATGCTGTCTTAGTCCAAATCCTCCTTGAGCAGTAAGTAGAGATCTCGGTTGTGACATGTCACTCAAGATTCCCTTTTTTCACTCTCATTTGGACTTCTTTCCCGAAAATTGTGGATCTGTAAGTGACAAACATGGTGAGCGATTATATCCTCAATGGAACAAAGATATCAAGGTCAGTGGGATACTTCAATGCTCGCAGACTACTGTTAGAATGTTGTGAGGGTTTTGCCAGAACATCAGTACAATCTTCAGGTTGTAAAAGTATTTCACAAATAATAATGCACTTTTAAAGCCTCAAAAATGATCGTGTAACTTCCAATAACTTCATTTTTTGTATTTGATACTGAATAAACATATCTGTAGAATGGTAGCTAATATAAGGATTCCGACAGAAAATTCGAGTTCTCACACCAAAATTAGTCAAGAGAAACAGTTTTCATCAAAGATAGATGCAAAAAATATATTTTTTTTTTTCAATTATAATTTGAACAGTTTAACAATTTTTAAAATTTGTGTTTAATATAAATAGAACAATAAAAAGTAAATATTAGCTCCATAATGAACAAAAATGGCTTGAGATCTGGCTGAAATGTGACAACTGAAGTGATAATATATATATAATGTGTTGACATCAAACTGATACTGAAAATGGCGGAATGTATATGAATTAATAAATAATGATAAACAAATAAATACATTGTTGTCTTTCAAGTTATTTATAATCATAGATAGCATGATTTTTTTTTTTTTTTTTTTTCAAAACCAAAGAACAATAAGAATTTGTTGGATTTTTGTATTGAAAAGTGAAATTAATATTTAAGTGATTTAATATCATCTTTTTAACAAGATTCGATTCAAGTTCTTATTCCCTCATAAAATCATTTCCAAATTTTGTTAACATATTGGCAACATGTCAATATGAACCAAATTGTTTAAATAGTATAAGTATAGAATAAGGAAACAACAAACCTAAAGAGCTTGGAAGATGCGTCTTGAAATCTAGAAAAGGGTATGGTCCATGTTGTGGATACATAGGATACCTCCATAAGATGTCAGAAGGATTAAAAAGAGGCACTCCTCGATCCATAGTAGATCCACTACGGTTCCCGTTAAGCTGAACCAGTTTCATAGCAAACTGAACCTATAAACAAAAATAAATTATTTCCATCTCTAAATACAATACTTCAGTAACAAAAAAATATGTCAATTAAAAATACACCTTAGTAAACTTTACTAATAGAGTTTTTTGGATAATATTTAATACCAAGGGATAATTGTCACAAGTAATAAAAGTTTTAGATGACACATACAATGTTATGTTAGTATACTGAGGTATATTAGTTGATATTTAAAACTGCATGAAGCATTAGTTAGACAAATTATAGTCATGATAAAAAGATAACTTTATTGTAGTTTATTTGTGCTTAAGCTGAAGGTAAGCAGTTTGCTATAAAATCCTGAGACCAGAAAAAACTTCACCACTCCAAAAAAAAATTATTTTCAGACGTTTCGTCGGCAGCAAGGCCATCATCAGTTGATTTGGGAACAAAATTAAGATAAAAACTTTTTAATGGTGTAAAAGAGTAATTTCACACCATCAGTTTTAATTTTAATTTTTTTTTACCAGATCAGCTGATGGCCTACCAAATCAGGAAATAAATTTTTTTTTTTTTTTGAAATGGTGAAGGTTTTTCCTTTCTCAGGAATCTCTTGCAAAATAACTTGATTTTTTAGTGTGATCTCAGGAAAACCTAACTAAATTCTCATGTAATGGGAACTTTCTTTTTTATCGTCTATTGCATAGATGAGGAACTTATGGCCTCTAGGGCGCATGAAGCCTCCATCAGCTATGGCTATGGCTATGGCTATATTAATTAATCTGGAGCCAGAATTATTTCATATTTAATTATTTAGGTTATAAAAGTTTAAAAATTAATAGAATTAATTTGAATGTACGTATATGGGTGTGTGTATTTAGTGAACAATAAAAATAGCAATAGTAAAATTAAGAAAAAAATTGTTGGGGCCTCCATTAGTACTGCTTAACCTTACTCTGATGATAAAAAAGGTTACTGATCTATGGTCTATCACATAACAAAAAAATTTGGAATAATCGAAAATGTATTCATCAAAAGATATATATACATAAAAATCAATAAATGATATGTAAAAGAAACACAATAATTATCCATTTCATTGAATCTAAACTACAAATAGATATAAGCAGAAACTAAAAATCTCAAGACTTACTACCAAGGAAATAGTTGTAATTATATAGAATATTACAATAATTAAAATATTTATAGAAATATTCATAAAAATCTCTAAAGATAATAACTAAGAAAACAAACAAACTTTATTATGAATAAGAGAAGAGAAGATTACGACAGAAATGAGGAAGGTGATTAGGAACAGTGGTAAGGAAGGAAGGTTCACCCCTCAATGATATATTTAGTTCGAAAACAAATCAGCAGTTGGTAATAAGATCTCACGCATCTGACACTAGTCAAGCTTAACAACTATCAAATATGGAAAATAAACGTTTTAATATAAATTTGTCGTATTTCATTACTTATTTAAACCCTTTATCCAAAGTCACTTTTTCACACCTAATGCGAAGTTAAAGTATGTTCTTATTTAATAATATAATTCGACATGATGTTTTAGCTACTGGAACATCTTATCAAAGAAAAAGTTTTTGGATATACGAAAATCTTTACACTGAATTTATGACATTAAATAACCTACTCAGAAGCTCTCAAATACAAGGCATAGTACGGGAATGAAATGTGATTCAAAATGGAATTGCTAATAAGAAACCGAGTGATTCGTTCCACAAAAGGTAATAATGATATGTATCGGAGGGAATAGTGAAGACTCGGCAGGAAACTAGTCACTATGCAAGAGGGCAACTTGTACATTCCTCGTCGTTGCCGTGTTCTCAGGACGCATCCCTTAGCGAGGACGGCTTCCGTTAAGGAAGTGGTTGACAATTGTTGGAATGGTACACGGAGCTATTTCCAACACCTCTTTCGTAGCCGTTCAACGTATGCCGTTGGCATAGTAGAGCTGTACCGTAAATTCGTGGAAGGCCGATCATAAGACAAACACGCCACCCAGGCTTATTAATGCTCCAAGACCATCTCCATGGAAAAAATAAGTAGCTACTTTAACATGGACTTAAAATACTAACATAAAAGCAGAATAAAATAGAAAAGTACAATAATGATCTTTTTTTGTGTCTTAAAACGGATTAATTTCACCACTCTTTTGTAATTAAAACGAAGTTTATCCAAGTGACAGTAAGCCATGCCAAATCTAACGACAAAGAAAAAATTGATTCGCATTTATAAGTGACAAACTTTCTGTTCCTGATCCTGATATTAACGTTTTCATGAAAATAATGCAAGCAATCAGCATTTTTTATTTTATTTTAAACGTAAATTGTAGGACTAGAAACATTGAGTTTGTCCCTTATAAATACAGATCAATTCCTATGACAGAAATCTGAGAGAAAAATACAGTTTCATAACCACTTTACATGAAAAATCATTATTTTCAAAGTTTCTTTTTTTATTAAAGAAACAATTTATTTAGGTAATTATGTTTACTATAATATACCCCAGATCATGGAAAAACAAGAAATGAAAGCTTTGCAACTATTAATTATAGTGTCGTTTTTGCTGAAAACACGGGTACTTGTAGGTGATAGAATAAAAAAATCACATAATTTTTTTTACATAAATTGCAGTGAATCTCAAATTTTTGGCAAATAAACCTCAACTTAATTAATGTTGGACTTAAAGCTTATTGAACGAGGAAGTTTTTCTAAAAGTGGGGTATCTGTAGTATAGTTGGATGATGATATTAAAAAAAATCGCAAATAATTTATGATTTTTAAAAAACAGAACTTAGCTTTGTTTAGCCGCACAAAGGCTCTCTTAAAAAGGTTTTAAAAATGCCAAATTTAGTTTGACGTAAATCTTGTATAGTTTAAATTGAAGCAGTTGTTAATTACTTAAATTAAGTACTGTTTAGTTACTATTTATTATTATTTAATTGTTATTTTTCTTTTGTTTATTTTATATTTTCTTTATGTATGTATATATATATATATATATATATATATATATATATATATATATATATATATATATATATATATATAGTATGTATATAGTCTTACCTCACCATTGTGCATGTGCCAGAATCTTATATTAATTAATAAATAAAAATATATGTATATTTATAAATAAATTGAAAATTAAAAAGATGTTTTAAGAACAACGTGAGAATAAATAGAGAGGAATGATTAACATTTCATAAGGAGGAAATCTTATAACAAAAAATGAACAAAAAGGACATGACCAAGTTTAAAAAAAAAATTTCATGCCCCTAGTGAATTAAAGAAGAAATGCACGTCTACAGAAATACTATCGTGCATTTTGATTTAACTAAATAACATTTTAAATTGTTTCTAAAAAAAAAAATTGCAGTTATAATCCAAACGATTTAGCAAAATATATTTTAAATGAATAAATTTTCAATGAAACTGATACAGCCTTCATCGTACTTTTAAGTACGCGTGATATCAGAAATGACAAAGAAAATAAAAGCTAACTAATGATAACAAAATATCCTTCTTAATACTTACTCAATATAAAATATTTTAATTGAATGTCAGGAGAAATTTGTATTTTATCTAATTGAACCGAGAGAATGAAATAACGGCGGAATATAAAATATACAATTTAGATCGTAGCCTATGATCATAGCAACGTCGATGATTTAGATTCATTAATATTTTGGTTTGGGAATAATGCAAACGATTCTGTTAGTTGAAATATGGAATCATAGACAACACTACTGAGTTTTCAGGATAAGGATTCGTATACATTAGTTTTTTGTTTACAATAGTACAAAAATCCTTTTCTTATGACAGAGAAAAAAAAAAATTGTCTAAACAAACATTTTTAGACTGTATTCAACTTAACTTGTTATGTAAATTAGTGACAACACCGATATCAAAACAATAATATAGCTGAGAGGTGCTCTCCCCCCACTCAAGGTTGGAGATGTATTTCCTCCCACCATTCCCTCTCCTAAGAATTTTTGTTGCTCTCCTCTTCTTAAAAGCGGTACAAGCTGAAGTAGAATTACAAAAACTGTAGTTTATATACAATAACATTTGTGATATTTCCTATGTTTCTTTATATATATATATATATATATATATATATATATATATATATATATATATGATACAATAATACTAATTTATAAAAAGTTAATTAACCAATTCGAACTCACTTTTTCACCCCCAAAAAAACATAAACAATACAATAAATAATTATTTTAGCAATTTTATAATCGTTATTGAAATACGGTTCCCAATAATTGAACATATTTATCTTTTTTGTAATTAATTGAATTACTGGTGGAGGGGAGAGGCTTTCGGGATGAATCCCCCCACAATAGAAAAATAATAGTTTTTTTTTCATAGATGCATATACTCTACTAAGCGATCTGAGTTAAATACTTGAACAATTATAATATGTGCACTCTTCATAAATTATAACTCATAAAAGAAAAAAAGAAAAGAACAAAGAAAAAAAAAACTTTAAAAGCATTATTGTTCCTATACTCTCTCCCTTCTTTTTTTTTTTTAATTAGGTCTTTAAAGACTAATTAAACATAACTTTATAAAGTTTTCTTTCTTTTTCTTCCAAAGTAATTACCGTTATTTTGATAAAAATAAATGCAATTGTTTTTTTATATTTATAAATTATTATTTATTAGAAATAAATAAATAATAATAAAGAAAGCAATCGTTTGTACAAAATCTGGGTCAATGATTCTGTTCTGAGGAAGATTGAGGAGCGTGGAAGAGGTAGAAAAATGCGGGTCATTATGTAAGGTTCCTTTCGCCGAGTGAGGTTATGCACTCGTGACATAATCTCAACCGACCCTCCAACGGTCAGGAAATGAGGTTTTTTTTTTTTGTGTATAATTTTTTTCCACATTTAACACAGACCAGCTAACCTTTCCTCCGCCCATATAAGGGTCCAATGAGGTAAACGTAAAATCTGATACAAAGATCGAAGAAATGTGATTACAAATAGAACACTG